GATTTGTAATTGTTTTACATGCTTTTCTCCAAACATCAACACAGCAGATTAAGTGTGGAACAATTATTGAGCTATACAACATAAACAGAGCTTTATCATTGAATAAGTCCTTTACTTTGTACAATACTGCAATGGATTTGGCTATTTTTGTTCTTAAATGATTTATATGAGGTCTCCATGTCAGTTTATCATCAAAAGGCTTTAGACCCAATTAATAATCAGTTCAATATGAATTCTGGTTATAAATAAGTATGTACGTAAATAAATAAATAAATATTTTTAAAAGTTACAGTGTGACACCTTTAAGTTCTGTGAGTGTTTTGATAGCAATGCCTAATATAGAATTTTAATATATTGTCACTTCTCACAGCTTCTTTCAAATGACTTGGTCACTAAATAAATAAATAAATATTTTTAAAAGTTACAGTGTGACACCTTTAAGTTCTGTGAGTGTTTCGATAGCAATGCCTAATATAGAATTTTAATATATTGTCACTTCTCACAGCTTCTTTCAAATGACTTGGTCACTCAATAGATTATTATTTGTTATTTTATGAGTAGAAATGTTTTAGATGCTTTGCTCTACCTTGTTTTCTTAAGTAGTTTTCATATCAATGGTAAACTTTTAATTTTGGATTCAAAGCAACAAATTAAACACTTTTAAAAGGTGAAGGATCATAAACTGTAGTCCCCTAAGCAATTTAGTTGAATGGCCCTGCATTAATGTCTCAAAATAAGCTGCTTTYAGGCCAGCACTGACCATAAACTACATCTCCCATCATGCATRCCCTGTCAGAAAGAGGYAYAGTTCAGAATTCAAGACTTGCCACAATGGATCAGTAAAACTATCCCAGTTGTATTCTTAATAGTATTTCTGTATAGTTTATTTCACTTTTAGTCTGTTATACACATAGTACTTTTCAGTGTTTATAAGAGGACATACAGTATTAAAACACTGATTTGGTGCAGGAAATACCATCTAGAGCTCAGGTATTGCTCGTCAGTGGTGCTCAGTCATAACAATGAGACGAGGAATGTAACTTTTTATGTTTAGTAGAAGTTAAACACAAAACGTCAAAAGTTAATTACAACTGGCCCTTTGAGGGCCACCATAATGCCCATGTGGCCCTCGTTGAAGATGAGTTTGATGCCCCTGTTTTACACAGTAAAACATACAGTGGGCCCTGAGGCCTTAATAACTTGAGCTCTTTGTAATCAACATTTTAACATGTAAATGTACTTGTACAAAAATGGCTGCAACTTTGTTATTATTTACTGTTGAATATATTGATTAAATGTGGCAGAAACTGAGCTCAATACATGCTTTGCACATTAACATATTTTTGCAAGATTGACCATAATGTCCTGCACAAAGTTTGACAAAAATAGTTAAACCTTCACACCTTCCCATCACAAGATAATCTTAGTTCAAAACACTGGCATGATAGGTGATGGGCAATATGCCTTATTTTCAAAAGATTCCAAGCCTTTATTTTTATATACARACTCAGTTGGTGTGCATCTTTTTATTTATTGCCCTTTGTTGGAGCAAAAAAAAAAGCTTAAAAACTCTGCAAGGAACCTTTAAAAATAGAAGTCATGCATCTTTAGTCTAAAGGTCTTGAGTCAAGTGGAGCTGCTGCCTGCAGGGAGTTTGTGTACCTTCATTTGTTCTGTAGGTGCTGACTGCAGTCTTTCTTTCTAATATCTTTCTACAGCTCAACTAGGTGTTCAAGGATTCTTAATATCATAATATAATATAATATAATATAATATAATATAATATAATATAATATAATATAATATAATATAATATTGTAATAAGCTACTGTAGTTCATATAGTATTTAAAGTAATATTTCCAAAAGTGATAAATGACCTATAATTTGATCATAAAGGGTACTTCCAATTATTTTATTATAATAATCCCCACTGTCAATGTTCAAGGGAAAGCAATTGTCAGTTTGTGTGTGTGTGTGTTTTATCTATTTATTTTTTGCTTGTTTGTACCATGAGCAAAATATTTCATGAATTACTGAAAATATGATATAATAATGCATGGCCACATTATAATTGCAGTCATTGTAGAGTCTCATTGATTAAAGTGAGTGTGTGCAGTAAAATTTTAGTACACACAAAAACATATGAGCACGCACGTAACAAGATTTGCACGGACGTTCTCATCTCTGAATTTGACTTTTGAGACTTGGAAAAAAATCAATTTCTGACTAACACCCGTTACACATGTGAAAGTTTTAAAAAAGAACTAATTCATAGGCGAGCAGATTTGTGCAAATCTTGTGTTCGCTTGAAACATGTTGCGTGTCCTCTTGAATGTTAATATGTGTGCTTGAATCTTGCTGTATGTGCACATTGTGAGACATTTTACACTCCATATTTCCATGCAGAAACTTTTGATTGTTTGCGTGGACAAGTTTGAATTGTTTAATTTCAAATGGGAACACACTTCATTCACTTGCATTTAGACAAGGAGTAATTCTTAGCATTATACAATGCAGCTATAACACACAGATGTTGACTGGAGTTGTCTTTGTCCAAAAAGCTTTATTTATTTATTTATTTTTTGAAGCTCAAGACTCAAATYTGCTCCTCTCTCACCCCCTGCTTTTGCTGCAGAAAGAGTGGGAGTAATGTCACGTTCAGGAACACAGTAGAAAATCATTTTCTCGACATGCACTTAGGGCATTCTTTTATTTTCTTTTGTTACTTTTATTTGTAAAAACAGTGACAATATACAGTATGCATTAGCCATGAAAGGAAAGATGCACTGTATCAGGTTATAGCTCTGGGTACTAGTTTCCACCTGTAGTCCCTGACCCAGCCCACACATTCAATGTCATCTCATAAATACTAGTACTATGAAAAAATAACCATGTAGATTGAACCATTGAAGTATACTCTTTAGATTAAACATACACCAACAAATTAAATAATAATAGGTGTGGGGTATATTTGAATWGTTACAAACAAAAACAGCATATTCATTTATAATCTGACCCCAACACCATGTATCTCTCAATAACAGAAAAAAGCTCCTTGAATTTTATAAATATTGTGCTAAACTTTGACATGTTAGTAGATGACAATCATTTACAAGTCCTAATTAGTCTGAGCGCTAACAGATTGTGCAAGATATCGAAACATCGCATGCAATTGTGCATATTATTTTCAAGGTTTCAGCAAAACAGCTATGCTGTAACTGTATTTTTTAAATTCAGTAAAATGATCTTAATTTAAAACTCTGGCATAAATGGCAGCAGATAATTTCCTCAAGGTAAGGTTTTGTTTGGTGCTTAAAGTAAAAAGCAAAAAAAAAAAAAAATCTTGGAGATAACTGCAGAAAAATCAAGCAGATTTCAAAGCAATCAAAGCAGAAATCTTTATAAACCCTGGAATGATGCTTTGATTAAAGGTTATGATCTGTATTTATTTATTTTTCAAACAACTTTGTCCTAATATGAACACATTTCAATGATGTGACCTTTTATACTTAAATGAATCCAGAAAACTCCAACGTTTTGCTCTGATGAAGAGTCAGAATAACASCAGTTGGTTCTGAACGTAGGCTGCATTTTAAGCTTTGTTAATTTGTCTCGCAGATACCTCGCTGATGCGTTATGTGGGACTGTCCGGCAGGGACGACCGCACGGGGTCTGAAGACTACTCCTCCCACACAGCTCGTCCGGGCAAACGCTCCAATGACACAGCCAAGCGGGCCAAGAGGCGGAGCCACCACAGTCAAAGCCCCTCCCACTATCTTTTTCAGACAAATCAGAGAGATTCACCTCCCAGAGACCAAACCTCCATGTATCATGTGAGTCCAGTGTTTATTCTTGTCTCTTCTTGAACTTTCTGCTTACCATCTGTTCTCTTTTGTGTGATTTAGATTTTTTTTTGTTTGCAATACTATTTATATTGTACCAATTTACAAGTAGTAAGAAATGATTTGGTTCTTGCGGTTGTATTTATCATTTCTGTCT